GATCAAATTCTCATTTCGATTGCTTAAAGAAAAATTTGTTATGAAGAAGCAAGAAAACAAGCAGTACGAAACACACAAAGCAATTCAATTAGAACAAAGTTATTTAATTAGTGCTTTGATATTCATTAAAGTATGAGACAAAAATATAAAACTATAAGTTAAGTCATCGAGAAAGTATTAAGTTATAAATGTCGCGAAAAAAAAAAAAAAGAAACCTTACGTTTCTAATGTCCTAAATTTTTCTTTTTTATACAATTACGACAAAAATAAATAAATGGTAAACACTCAAAACGAGACAATTTTAAGATGTTCATTCAATTGAGTAAAAGATAAAGAAAAAGAAAAAAAAAAGGAATCGGTTAAAAAGAAGTAACCCGGTTTTCTTTTTTTTTTTCGTGGATAATTTTCTTGTTAATGGTTTCCTGTTCCGGAAAAATTTCTGTGTTACATTGATTAAATATGAAAATTTTAAAGACAAGTTTTTAAGACAAATTAAAATCATTAGTGTGAAATTTAAAACAAGAAACAGGAATAAATCAACAAACTTGGAAGTAAACTTTCAATCTGTTTAAATACCATTTCGGACATGATGAAAGGACACCATCGAATTATTCAATCGATCGATCAACTTTTCCTTCTTCGTTTTTGAATTTAAATCAATTACCTTTCTTTTGTGCGCAATACGTTGGTATTTGATGATGATTGATGGCGAATGATAGTTAATTCTATGAGCCTTAATTCTGTTTTTCAGTATTCTGTTGTAATTTACTTCCCAAAATATTTTGTCATCTCATTTTTTGTCTTCTGTCGACAGCAATTTCGGTATTACACGGGTAAACAAGCTAATGCTAAAAAAGGAACCTATAAAAGTCAGTTTACCTGTGCTACTCATAAAGTCGTTTTTTCTTTGACATTTTTCATTGACCAACCGAATGGTCAGCTTTGTACATTCTATAAGCTGTATATTCGTGGAAAAATAAATGCATAAATTATAAATTAATAGGATTATTTTTCAAAAATATCCGAAAAATTAAATTTCAAAAATTGTTTCATTTTATTCAAATGATACTTGATCAGTAAGAGCAGGAAAAAGTGTGAATGCATGTAGAGGTCAAAGGTGAAAGTTTTTAAAATAAGCTCAAGATTGTAATCTTTTGACTTTTTTATTGCATTAAAGTTTCATGATTTAATTTTCTGAAATTTAAAGTGCGAATAAAATATTATCACAGATGAGCTAATCGAAAAAGTTATAATATTTTTTAAAATATTTAATTTCCTTTACAGTAATAAACAAATTTGTGAAAATTTTAAAAAGTGAAAAATTATTGAAAATATATCGGTTTATTTGCTTCTTTCTTCACATATAATGAAATCGAAAGGTTAACCAATGATTTTATTGTTAAGCAAACTGACACAGAAAAAAAAAATGCGAATTTGCGTTTGTTCCAATGATGGACAACTGATGTGATAAAAGTTCCAGCAGTAGAAGTAATATATTATAAAAGATAAGTGGGAAAATTCAATGTTTTGCTGCCTACAACTGACTCTATGACCCATTTCTGACCTTTCCACATATTGCTGACCTATATTTTGTTAACACAAAAGAATGACAATATCAAAGACCACCGCTGTCATTTTTGTCGACCCGTTCAATGATTGCTCTCAGTTTTCTCATTCTTATTGGGGTCTTTTTTAGGATTACCGAAGCCTATAATCGACCAAGTTTGTTTGTTTCTTTCTTTCTTTGGTTGATTTATCTAATAATTAATTGGAATAGGTCAGGTCACATAGAAGGAGAGAGAAAGCTTCGTAAAGCAGGTATAAGCTGCTTTTATGGTGACAAAGACTGAATAAGAAATGGGATTAAGTCACTAAAACACTTCTTTTCATCATAAAAATGGGATCAAAACTCAAATCAGATAATCTGAATATCTGCAATAGATCAGATACTGGTTGGATTTCACTTTTACCGAAATTATGGTATTGAAACTCCGAGAATCATTGATTATATTGCTGAATTACTCTTGCATTTATGGTGCAACTTACTCACTTAATACTTTTCCTGAAAAAATTTGAAAAATTTAAAAACTTGGATTTTGCTAAAATTCTAGACCATTTTGGAAATCCCTGTGTGATGTGCAAATGTTTCGTGGAATACACAGACCGTGATATGCCAATTTCCTTCAAACCGTACGGAGTTGCAAATGATAGTTACAGTAGTACGGAAGATCAGTGTTTGGTTACTTGTCTCAAAGATACAGTAAGTGTTTAGTATTTCTTTTTGAAATTTGGATTTCTCTTTTTTTGAAGTGTCTTTATTGACTTGATAAAAGGTTATTGATTTGGTTGTAAATGATAGCACCGTTGGTTAATTGATGAGTTTGGTCGGATAAAACCTAAAATTAAAATAATCCTGGAACTTTAACCATTAATATATTACAATTATTTAATGTGACTATGTTTATTTATGTGTGACTGATTAGAAGTAAAAATCTGATAAATATTTCATATTTTTCCTTTACGAATTGTAATAACTTGAAAGGATGAATGACAACAAAATTACTGATAATGAATGAATGTTATTAACCTAATAGAGGTCAGCAATTTAGATTCATTTCAAAGAAGAATAAGAGAAAATAAACTAGTTTGATAGTCATATTTATTTATTTGTTATATTATTTATTATTCATATTAAAGCTGTTACTTGCGAAGATAACATTGAGTTAAATTGACCATTAGAAGTGACCAGAATGCATTTACTAATTTATGATTTCCATAATAAATTTTTCACATCTATTTTTAATCGTAGAAAACAAAAATTTAGAATGAAATTTATAGCTGCATTTTAAATCAATGAATTAAAACTTTTAATCAATTTTTTTTATTGGAAACTAAAGGACATAGTTTTCATACAGTTCTCAAAATCTTTCCAGTCACTTTCTGGAACCTTTTTTATACAAATGATACCGGCCGTAATGGATTAATCATCCGGTCATTTGTTTACAGGAACAATGAGTGATCTCCTCTAGGCCATAAGATCAATTCATAGACTCAAGTCATAAACAAATGATATTTCAGAGATGTAAAACAGTTGTTTATGGATTAATTGGTGGACGTGATGTTTTCACGTGCGAACTTTATGAGGCAGTAACTCTAAATCAGCTTATCTATGCCCCAAACGTAAACATCTATTTGCCAAAGAGGAAAACCAGTTGTAAAGTACATTGTAAGTTAATTTTATACCTTAAAAAATTTTTATACTTACCTATTCTAGATGAATATTATTATTGGAATAAAAAAGAAAATGGATCCTTGTTTTACTACTTTACTGTAGATTATAATGCATGTTGCAGATGAACACATACAAAGTTTAAAGATATTAAATCGGTATAACGAAATAACCAAACGAAAAATGAATTATCTTACTTTATTCGCACAACGAAATCCTTTTGCATTTGGGTGAAAACTTATGATTAAAATGACTTTTTTCATTGTATTCATTCCAACATGCTATTTGCAATTCAAGAAGATTGATCAACTGTCCAAAGCTTGATCAAATATCATTTCATCAATTGGATCTATTCGTAAAGGATCAATTGTTACCTGATAATACATATCACTTTATCCACAACAAATGACAACATTTGAAGTAAAATATAGTTTGCAGATTGTCTTTTTACCATATTCAATCGACATGATTTATTTCAGTTTCATCATATCAAATTCTCATATTTGTTGATAAGTTATGATTGTCCATATTGATTGTCAAGTTATGTAGAGAAAAAAAATGTGAAGAGAAAGAACGCCTTTCTAAACGAAATCAAATATCGCTACGTACAGACCCTAGTGATATGCAACTTTGTTTTTTAGATTGGCTTATCAACATTTTAAAATCTCAATTTTTTGCGCCAATTGTTGAGAATTAAACAGGAAATGAAGATAACATTTGGCATTGAAATAAGGCTTAAAACAATTTAATAATTCATGTATGGAGCATTAAATTGAAACAACAATTTAAATTATTGAAAAAAAAACATTCTATTGATCATAAAATTTGAATTTTTTAACAATTCAGATTCATTTATTGATAACAATTCGAATTCATATATTGATATAAAACAATATCCTCTCACTGATGAATTTATAAGATTGAAAATCTTGCATCATCCATTTATTGCTCACGTTTTGCATGCACAGCAATTTTTATTTCTGCATTCTTTATCCATTTCAAATTTTTAACATTAAATCCCTTTATTGTAAAACTGAGGGAAAAAATATGACATCAAATTGCTGAAAGATTAATTGAGTGATGAAGATTTTTTCTAAATAAGCATGTTTTTGTTCGTGATAAAATGAAACGACCGAAATTGAACTTCTTATTTTCTAACTTCAAATTTGAATGAACGACGATTTCAACTCCCAAATTAATTTTGTATTGCCGATGCAATCAATGAAGCGTCAACGATGATGACAATAGAATTTGGATGGTTATTGGCGCGCTTTTTTGTTCTATTACCTCTCTAGGGGTCAAGAGATGAGGAGGTCAGGCTCGGTAACTAGTGAGGTTCTGCAGCATGACGGCAATAAAAAAAAAGGTTAATAGAGTGTAATCAAAGATGAAGTGAATTTCGGAGAAACAGAGAACATGAGAACATTGACAAGCAATGGATTTACTTGGAAATATGGAAGGTCATCAGATGGACATCGCTAAGGGTCCGCCTTTTACCGCTATCTGCTGAGGAGTGACCTTATGGGTGGATATTTCCGTCCCAATAGCCGTCTGCTTGGTAGTGCTAGATTTCGTGAACTGTCGTTACCCATTGCAAATCAATTACTGCTCCAGTAGGATTCGCTTCATTTATCCCTTAACCAGAAACAGAATTAGTAAGGAAAGGATGTCTGATCGACAAGAGGAAATTCAACCTGAACAGGTGCCACTGAAATGTAACACTGATCCGGCGAAACTAAAAGTAGAAACTAATTCTGCAAAGGTAACTTTTCAAAGTTGCATCCATTTTAACAAATATATATTGGACTTATCTTAATGAATTTAAATTTTCTTTGCATTAATTTCTCATCAAATAATTGAACACTTACTTACTCCACTAAAAAAAATCTCGCGGAAGCTAAATGTTGAACACTATTATTTATCCATTATTTGTTTGGCTTCCGTATCTCTCTTTTGATTATTCAGTCAAAAAATCAAAAAATTCGTTTTCAATGTGACTTACAGATGTACCTTTTAATGGATATGAGTAGTTACGAGAATTTTGAAATTTCAAACTAAGCCGACGTAGTAAAAAATTATCGTCAGCAATTATTTATAAAACTGTTGACAATGTTTAATATTAGCTAAATTTTGAAGTTCCCCATGAATCTCCTACTGAGAAGGTTCTCGTACTGATATGATTACTGTCTGACCAATTAGTGCAGTAAGTCTCTCACCTGCCAAACTGCTTCTATTTTCTTCATAATTTTTAAAAATTATTTCCGGAAATTGTATTTTATTATTTGTCCTAACTTGATTTGCAATTGTAAGAATGAGAAAGAAAAAAACGTTTTAAATTACCTCATTCGAAAGTAGTCTTAAATGTTGAAATGTGTTTCATTTCAAAAAATTTATTTAGATTATTGATCATTTGGAGAAGTTCAGAGGAAAACGCTTCATATAGTTATTGAGAAATGCAATAAACATTGTGAAAAGAATTTAATTAAAATTGATTATAAAATTATGAATGGTAACAGAATGCGTTTATTAAAATCTTTTAGATAATTTTTTTTTTTTTTTGAAATACAAAAATCTGGAAACATTTAGCAATTATATATTGGTTAAGTATGTCAATCAATGAATTTCTGTTAGCGAAGTTTTATAAATTTGCTATTGATGAATTGATTTTTTTCTTCTTTTCCGGCTGATCATTCTTAAAAATCCTGAACGGATTTATCTGTTTATTTCATTTCAAATTTACATCTCTTACCTGATTTTTCTTTTTCTTTTAGGAAGAAAGTGATGAAGTTTATAAGAAAGAGCGCAAAAAGATATGTCGAATTTGGCAACGAAAAAGTCCCCGATCGTACAATTTTCAAAGAGAGAAAGATGAGTCGAAAAAGTCGAGAACAACAATTGGATTGGATTTCGAGAATCGTGATGACAAAGGCCTCAATAATCATATTATCATGGATTTTGCGGAAGTGTTCGCGGAACCGGATGAAAGCCATTCGTTCAATTGGACATGGCTTGCAACTAATCGAATCTTCACAGCTACAAGCGTTGCCATCTACAAGCTATTGGCTGCTTTTATCGCTATACCATTTGCCGTATTTTTCGGTATTCTGTTTGCTGTTTTCGCAGTAATTAGCGTTTTCGTGTGCACACCACTTGGAGTATTACTTGCGATACCACTAAATGCTTTTTCCAAGGTTTTAATTAATTTATTAATTTTCAATTTCATGGATAAAGAACTTTTTACTTTTTAAAGAAAATTTTTTGATACCATGTGGTAATTACCACTTCACTGAAAGTTGATAAGCAAGGGTTGGAAATTTCAAGTAGTCTAAGAAGAAAGGACTGTCGCGAATGAATCCATCGACTAAACTAAACGATTCAAATCATCTACAGCTTGGCTAGTGTGCTGGTTAAGATGATTGCTTGAATGATTTCAAATCATAAAACTCTTCAGGGAGAGAAACGATTTCTCGCTAAAACTTAACTGAGATCCAAAGTTTCACATGATTAAACAGTGAAATTATCACAGCTTGGTACTGTTGAAAGATTTTGTTTAAAATTCCGAATAGAATGAGTGATTTAAAATTACTAGCTGATATATGTCAACTTGATAACTTCTTTTTTTTTCAGTGCTGGGACTTCGTTATATGCAGATTTCTGAACCCAATTACCAAATCGATCTGCTGCCAAAAAAGAAAGGATGAAAAAAATACTATCGTACTGAACGCTTAAATTCATTCATTCATTCAACGTAACATATATACCTCAATGAATTCATGTGGAAATTTAAATTTGTTATCAAGTTTCGCAACTCCGTAAAACGTTTTCCGAAATATTCTTCCCTGTTCTTGGCTCTTTTCTCACATTCTACGATATTTTTATGAATAAATATATTTTGGTATGTATCGTCAAAAAAAAAAAAAAAAAACCATACACACATATATAAGGAAGGAATTGCTAATTCAAACATAATCGAAATAATCCGGCTGGGTCGTAATTTCAAGTGTTGATCCAATATTATCAAAATACGATTTGGATGACGATTAGAGCTAATCTAGACTGCTAAAATGTCATTTACTAATAAGTTTGAATTAATTCGACCTGGAATAATTCAGGTAACTGTTTTCATTGAGAACGATTACGTGAATGCAATAATGTTGGACATTATAATGATGATAAGTGCCGGAAATATATAAGCAATATAGGTTTACCGGTTCATTATCAAGGTATTAGTAATGAGGTAAAACCATCATATCGGAAATAAACAGAGTTTGAGGAAACAAAATTAAGGTCTAGAAAATGCTGTTGTAAAATGACATAAGCTATCGATGATGACAAATTTGTTGTGTCATGAACAACGATATTATTCCGATATCAATTATATATAAAAGCCACGGTACTTCAAAAATATATTGCACAAGGGAACCGTAACGATAAATACAAAGTTATTACAGTGAACTTTTCAAACTGACACAAAAGATCGGAAGTTTACACAAAACCCAAGGTCAAATCCATCTGAACATTTGCGAAATAATAAGCTCTTAATGCTTTGGCTTCTCTTCTTCAGCACTCCTAGTATTCCATGGAAGTTTGTCAACAATTTCACCTAACTTCGTCTCCAACAAAGTTTATAATTTTGGTCTTACACAAAGCTAATTTTATAGGGGGATTTTTCGTTGACCATAAATTCTTTCCAGTTTTATTGAATCACTGCTAAATTTTTGAAATTCATCATAGAATCTTCAAATTTCAACTGGGCATGTCATGAAAACACCTCAAGTTGATACGAGATGCTATATATTAATGAAATGGCATATTGTGATAAAACCGTTACAAATATTTTTTTTAGCAAACTAAGTTTATTATCATTTAGACAGAACATAGATGGGACAGAAGATAGAAGAGGAAAGCAGAGGAATTATTAGACGGATTTTCAGAACAGAAAGGACAACTCAACCTCCCTACTTTGAGATAAGTACTTGTCTAACTGCAACACATAACTTTAAACTGAATGATAGAAGAAGGAATGGTTTGCCATTTAAAGTGGAGTTAAATAAGTGGATCGAATTAGGGTAAATTATTTAAGGTTTAAGGTCAAAATAATATCTTTTTTAAAGACAGTTCCCTTTTTTTTCCACTGTATTTACACTACTGGACATAAATTAGATATCATCTTTCAGCAAAAAAAGTGCTATTCAAAAAAAGCGTATATATCAAAACAGTGGAATATTGATATGAGTAAAGAGAGTGAAATACTTCAGAAATAAAATATCAAACTCAAATTACTGGTTTCCTTTAGCTTTAGCCAAGTCTAGGCAAGCAGCTTAGCATGAATAACGTTATTTACATGTCGAGTACAAATAATGATTGAAAAGCATCTTCTTCGGCAGCAAAAAACTTCCAAAAATATCGAAATGCGAAATACGGAAAGAGATTTCAATTATTACTCAAAGTGAGTAGTGGTAATTCATGGTTTCATCTTTGGAATTATATATGCAAAGAAGAAAATATATGCATGTATATAAAGAGGATGCTCCTGCAATGTTTTTACAAGCAAATTAACTAGATTTCGTTTCCATGAAATTGAAAAAACTTAGGCCTAACTCGAATCCCAGAAAACATGCAGCATTTGCTGGAAAGGCACGTAACATTACCGGCGTAAAACCTCTGAATAACGCTTTTGGACCTTCTTCATGCATTATCTCTTTGAATACGCCACGTATTCCTGGAAAAGAAAATATTGAAATTAATAGTAACAGTCAGACGCAAACAGTTAGGTTGATGATAATGGAACAGAAATTATTGACAAAAGTGCATCAAATCGAAATTTCTTCATTAACTGTTGGTCGATTATAAAATGTTCATTTGTCATCAACTTTAAAATAAGAAAACTCTTACTAATCCCTAGAGGTCATCTTTCAAGAAAAAAAGCAAGAAATTATAAAAGTTAATCCTCAGTTTTACATCCAAGAAGAAATAAGAAATTATGGTACCTTCTGGATATTTCCCTTCTGGTGCTGTTTGTAAACGCGATTTTAATACATCTGGTGGAATACATACAGACCAATTAGCAATACCTGCTAAACCACCCGCCAGTAATGTTGACAATGGACTCAAATTTCTGGTTGCATTGTCACCCGCAAAAATTTTTTTGAGATGTTCATAGGTAGCTAAATAAATGCCACTAGCTGGAATGTCTGCAACAATAACCATTTATTAGTACGAAAATTTTTGAAAAGAAATAACAACCATTAATGGCTACCAACATTATAGGAATAGAAAATCCAACACTATCATTATTAAGCAGCCCGGGAAACGAAAAGACATAAGTGATAAGTCCGATGTAAAAAGTGCACTATTTTGTGAATGTGAAAATTTCAACCTCTGACCTCTAAGTAAAGTTGCCATTGCACCTCTGTAAATGCTTCTTATACCACCTTGCTTGTATAATTTCCGAAAGACATCAATTGATCCGGTGTAATGTTCTGAAGATGGATTTGTAGAACCCGCCTGCTGGACCTGAAATCAACTCCATTATATTGGAAAACTGAAAGTTTCATTGAAACTCGAAACCATATCATCTCGTCATAAGATAAATGGAATCGATAAGATTGAAAATAAAGTCTGAAGGAAGCTTAATTCCTACTCGTAAACTTCCCTCAATGTAAAATAATGCAACCTGTAACAAACACTTGATACGTTCACCAGGTACCATGATCACAGTAGTGAAAACGCCAGCTAGGCCACCCGAAAACAGATTTTGAACGAATGTCATCTCTTGACCCGGAGATGTTTGCTGCAACCATTTACCAAACGAACAGCTGCCAAAATAAACGGCAAATAAAGGCGTAACTCCAATAATAGGAGCACTCATACCCTAAAATTTAATTGGCAAAATATGAAAGTAATAATCGAAAATCGAAAATCTTATAAACTGAAGAAGATAAACTTGCAAATATCTTACTAAGATGTTACGACAGTTTTATACTCCGGTATCTTATGAATATCACCAAATATCCAGCCTCAGGATCAACAAACAAAACAGACCTTATATAAAGCGAAAAATCCTTCCCTGACAATGATTTGCCTGGTGCAATCTAATGCTCCTGTATATAATGGTCGAGTACCAGGTAGCAGTTTTGGCATCGTCTGTAACCGTACCTTCACGGTATCAAAAGGATGCCCCGTAGCAACGCAGAATATACCACCAACACCACCAGCAATAAAATTCCTCAAAATCTCATAATTTACACTGTCTGATATCGACATGTCGTTTTCGTAGTGTAAAATCTAAAGAATAAAACTTTATAATTCTGAAATTCAAATTTGGTTAGAATCGTAATCCTAAATACTCATATAATTATGGTAGAAACTCATCGTTTGGGTAGTGGTATAGGTTCAACCTCTCGTAATTATCATCGGCAAAAAATAATCTGTGATCACACAATTATCACAGTTACTGCCGTCTGACTAGGCTTCGCAAACGAAAATATGTGAAGGGCTTTACCCAAACTTGATACACTGATGGCTAAAAAGACCAATACGGGATTGCCAAGCATGACTGTGACCAATATCCTGAATCGCCTGCATACAGGGTTGGGTCTGCCGCTTTCAATGCACCCTATTACCTGTTTTGTCCCACGCCTGTCGTTACGAACTTTTGCAAAAGTGAGTGTATCTTTCCAGTCCGTGCGGAAGATTTTCTTAAGGTGAGGACGGTTTAATTGGAGTACCATACTCTGAGATAGATGGCCTTATAGGGTTAAACAAGCTCTATCTCCTCGGTTTTGGGATCAGAGTAGTCCTTCTCCTAAGACGGTCACCGGAGGGCTAGTGAGCCCATCTTTCCTATGGACACTTTGTCTAAACCTTCAGTTCAAACCTATCTGGGATGGGAGATCCTATCGGAGGAGGCATATTGACTGTCAGCATAGCTTGAAATCTTGTTAGGCTTAAAATCTCATCAAGCTTCTCTACGCAACAAGGAGATATCTGTGAAGAAGTGTTCCAGTTATAACAAATAGAAAATTCACAGTTCGATAGATTTGGACCTCAGTTTACAAATATTCGTCATTTATAGATATCAATCTTCCGTTCTCAGACAATGTAGATGTTTTCTAACCCTTACTTTGATGCAAAAAAAAAAAAAAATCACTGAACTCCGCCAATTTCAACAAAAAAAATTTAGAACACAAATTTTAATGACCTATAAAAATTCTTAAATTTTCTTTTATTACGTATCATATTTATTATCGTGAAATAAGGGGAAATAATCAGGCAAAAACAACTGCAACATTGAAAATGCAAAGATTTTTCAACAGTATTATTTGTCATCAAAGCAAAGGATTAGAAATGCAATGAAACAAATATAATACATTTAAGCCATTAAATTAGCCTAATAGTCTTTAGAGTGACATAATTTGCGGAAGAATCAAGGAAACAAAGGAAGACATTTACAAGATATAATTTTCGTACATCCTTTGCCTTTGTACTTTGTTCTGTGAACTTATGTGGTTGTTCAATATTTAAACAAATCACACATGGAAGAAATGAAATACAACAATTTTCAATCTTTTCAAATGATAAATTTCCGGCTTAATTTAAATGTATGATGATAAATTTGACTCTAAAAAAAATTTTTACAAAAAAGTCAAGCAATCAGTAATAATGTGGAAATGAAAATTTTCTGAGATGACCCAAATGAAATTCACAGCATCAGATCACAAAAAAAAGTATGTTCGATCGCGTCATCTCAAAGACGGTAAATCAAAGTGAACAGTAAACTTTGTATTTTTCACGTAAAATTTCTTCGAAAATTTTGTTAGTTTAAATTGAATCATTAATATTTGTTGATCATTAATACGTCAGATATGTGCAACCTTTAAAGTAACTCAATATATTGATCTTATCACACTGTACAATTATATCTAGCATTATCACCCATACTATTAATTAATTGTTTCAACGAATGTTACTCAGAGTGAAATTATGAGAGCATGGAAAAGAAAAGAAAAAATCTTTGTCAAAAATAAGTAATTGGTTTGAGCTATAAGAAGAAATGTATACTGTAGCAGGAAGGAAGGCGTTGAATGAAGTGAAAAACAACATTTAAACTGGTATTTTTAGGAGAGAAACAACAATCTGCTGAAAATAATAACAGAAAAATTGGTCTAATAATGTAAATCAAGAGAAACAAACATTAACTAAACATACAAATTCCACTTCATAAACCTGGCATAGATGATTGTTAGCACTTCAATTTGAGTAAGATAGACATGACTTATGTCATCATCTACCTTCATTTAATATTTATTGATGCACTCATCATCGTCTATATCGTTTAATGTGTTTAAAGAAAACTATCTGTTGTAAACAACCGGAACTTGTCTATAGAATCCAAGATTTTATGACGCATGCGAATATTCTCATATGGAAAGCAGAAATTAGCACGTGAGACTTTAAGCTGGTTTAATAGCATGTTTTAAAATATTTTTACAAAAAAAACAAAAAAAAAAAACCTAAGAATTTCTCTGAGAAGATCTAAAATGTCTTTAAACAATAATAGATTAGGTGATTTAAGCGCTATTCTGACCCAACCTATAAGGGAAGAATCTTAATCATCCTGTAAGCATTCTATTTACTGCTACTTTTTCGACTGAGTATATCCTTTGCACAAGTGGATCAACATAAAATTACGAGAAACGAATTTCTGACTGTTTCACTTAGTTATAATCAAGTTATTACCGACAATATAGCATTAATCCACCGCAAATGTCTACAAATTATTATAAAACTTCATTAAATCCATTACAAATATAACACGACACGAAAAAACATTACAGTAACATTTAGAACATGCAAGCAAACGTTCAGCATTATGAGACTAAATTAAAAAAGAGCTTATGAACTGATGCGATCTGATCACAAATTAATTCAACACAATAGAATTTCGAAAAAAGTTTTTTGTCTTGGAAAAGACCTATTTCAGATGCAAACAGCTTTCCACTTAATGATTTGACTCCGGGGGATTATCGGAACAAGGTTAAATCCACATCATTATCAAAAAAAATATTCCACCTACAAAACCGGTAACATTTCCAGAACAACAAACACTTTTAAATACCAACAAATTTTTAAGTGTACAAAGCTACGAACTGTGCGGGTAATGCATGTTAAACCATTTAAATAAAGACTGAAAAAAACATTGAAAATAAGTTATTTTTATTCAATGGATAGAAAATGCAACAACTCAAAGTAACAACCATCAGAAAGATTTATATATAATACACATTTTTCTTGCTAAGCTCCTTTTTGGTAAACCAAAAAATGAAAAAGACAGCCATCATCATTCACTCCACGATTGTTCAAGTGTAATTGGGACGAAGACAACAGGCATACAGTATCTTTTGAAAATAGTAGAAATGAAAAAAGGTAACTTGGACCCAGTTAAAACTTTTTAAAAAGAAATATTTTGAAGCGAACGATATGGCAAGAACAATTATCTACAGTAAGACAAGAAAACAATAAAATGTTACAAATTAACTTATATCTTCGGCCTGAAACGATGGCACATCTATTAGATCACTGTTTCAGGTTGTAGGTAGTAATAAAACATATTATTTTATTACTGCCCAGCATATGCAATATATAAATACGTTACATATTATTTTATAACTGCCCAGCATATGCAATATACAAATAGAATATACATCTGTAAAGTCAAAAGCAAAATGATCACTGCTTAATTACTCTGATGACACAGTTCACTTCTTTTATTTTTAAGTATTCCTGCTCTATCAACATTATGACACAATCACTTAGAGTCGTTGCCAAATTCCAAGATGTCAAAATCGTGCTTCAGAAATGTTTGCAACTGAAGCCATAAATTTTTTTGTCATACTTTACTGTCATTGGCATTTCATTTCTCCAGAATACGCGTCATGCAGAGAGAAATTCAAAAGCTACAATAATTTAAAAAGAAAAAGTCGAACAGATCCATTTTTAATATCGAGCTCAAATCAAGCATCAAGCAATCCTTCATGAAAAAGATGTTCACGCAAAGACTGAAATATGTGAAGTTGTTCATCCACTGGAAGCCAAAAAATCTGTTGCAAAAGCTTTGATGGATTGGGGACTCTGAAAATGAAAAAACAAAAAACATGATTAGCGCGTTGTGTTCCATCTGTAAAATTTGAAATTTTTACTTTCTTCTAAAACCTTGTAAGAAATTTGCAAATAAGCTGCAAGAATTTACACGCTCTAAACTTCCTTTTGCATTTTTTTGATGAATATAACTGTAAGAAAAGAAAAGAAAACAATTTAACTTATAAGGACACTAACTTGATAAAGGTGTGAATATAAACATTCACAAACGTTCCCATAAGAAGCTGACAGTCAAAGCGATCCATCAGACCACCATGTCCAGGAATGACATCACCAAAATCCTGCAAAACGTACCACCATTAATTCCACCGATGAATAATAGAATCGAATGTATCAAGAATTTTTAAAAAGCAATGCCTTGATTTTGAAAGCTCGTTTGAATCCACTTGCAAAGAATCCACCAAATGGACCTAATATGGAAGCAAACAGGCCCATTACAATCGTATGAAGTAAGAAAGGATAGACTTGAAATGTTGGGGGCTTTTGCATCAATCGTAAGATGATAGAAAGAGGTCGTCCGATATTAAATTCTCTAAAAAAGAAACATCGAATGATTATAATTTGTGCTAGACAAAGTAATGATTACAGTTGGTTCTATCCAAAGCAATGACTATAGTTTGTGCTATTCTAAGTCTACAGCAAACCTTAGAACAAATGACGGCGGAACGGTACAGTTGTAATTTTCCACTGTATAATCTTCCAATGGGCATACAAAAAACGGATGATGAAGAAGGCAATAAGAAAGCTGGAATATAACAAATGTATATAAATGGGGTCTCACCAGTTGTTTTATTAATCGTAATCTTACAAATACAAATTAAAAAATTCAAAAGGAAACTAACTGATTTTGACTGTGAAACAATTACACTGACAGCATATCATACCACTGGGATGGTAAGTATATCTCCCAATGTATACATCAAAAAAATAGACAACGAAACTGAGCCAGAGTAGTTCATTTTACAGTCATACATTGGGAGATGAACTGCAGTGAAAGAATGATTGACAGTCTCGGTAATAGCATTTCAAAACTCCCCGTTAACTTACACCGTCTCATGTTACTTACAATTAAGCCGAATACAACAGTGCTGATACCACCGCCAATGAAACCCTCCCATGTTTTTTTCGGAGATAACTTTATTAGAGGTGTTTTTCCAAAGAAGAAACCGAATACGTAGGACATGACATCACAGCAAATCACCATTGAAACCGGAACAAGAAACCTAAAATAATTTTACGGACCTATCATAAACCATAAGTGATTCACAAATGCAAAGAACGATAATTAACATAAAGTTTGCAGGACATAAACTAACCATATAAGTCCTTGAAAAATATTCTGGATAATGAGGAATGATTGTGAGACAATCAATAACAGCGTTACATGCGACCAAGCGAACTGAAAGGGAAGCAGAACAGTCACATAAGTCACGAAGATTTAAAGCTAAAACTAACTACTTGATAACAAATTTAAAATCTCTTGAGTAATGCAACATCTTTTAATCTGGAACACATTCGATAGTTCACAGTTTTGAACAAAAATCAATTTGGAAGAAAAAAGATCAGAAGGAAAAATAAGACCAATCAAGAAACCCATAAAAAGCATTTATTTTTTATAGCTTTTATACGACTAAAACTTACTAGTGAGAATTGCCGCAGATAGTAACCTTTTCGCAATGACAAAACAAACCACACGAAACCTGTACAGTATAGAGCGAAGCTAATCAAACGATGATGTGCCACCAAGAAATGTAAAAACTGCTGAAAACTATGCATAGTGCAGCAAACATTAAAGAAAAGATAATTTCCGGAAATGAGGGTAACTAGTGCGGACAATAAGCTATGTGTTTCCATACAGTGTATTGATAATGATTTATGCACAACCGAGTCTATGGGTTGACTCTATACCGAAATGTTTCATTTCATACTACTGTTGCGAGAGCACACGCAGCTAAAACTAATGGAGTTCAAGTCCAAAAGTTCACCCGTGCGAAATCAGACACTGAAAGCAACAGAATGAACTGAAAAACAAAGATTTGTAAAGAATAAGCTTTAAAAGTAAATACAGAAGAGTTCTCCTGCAAAAGTACTCCTAAAAAGGATTAAATATAAAAATACGTACATCTTTTCTCAGCAAAATACCCCAATAGTCGATTAGGCTTTCACCAAAGAAAAAGTAATTTGATGATAGCAGAAAATACCATGAAAGCGCGCGGAACCATGGTAACGAATAAAGACGATACACTGCCAGACCAATAGTAATGATTTCATGGAAGCACCAAAATTGTATGACAAATACCTAAACCATCTCTCACAATTCAATAAGCCCTCCAGTAACAGTACTTTTTGAAGTTTACTAAAAAGCAAATTTTACCAAAGCCATAAGCCATGTAGCTCCCATTTTGATGATTACAGAGAATAGAGAAACCATAATGACTGAAAAAATACCGCGCACAACCCAATTTCGCCATCTGGAAGTAAGCAATAAAATAAGCAATAAAACATTACATTTTTTTCAATCACTCCGACAGTCTGGTCATTTAGTAGATAAGCTTCTCAGTGATGGACAGCCTTAATCAGGTAATGTCTTGCATGAGATTCTTCAAAGCTACCAAAACTGCAGACCGTAGGTAGCTCACCTTTTTCGGTGAAAAAGTGGAATAATCTTAAAGTTAGTTGACCTATTAACGATATACCTTGGTGGTAAGGGTGAAAGAACAGGATCAATAAATGCTCCCAAATGATCGGAACCCTGCGGCAAATCCTTCGTTAGCTGTGAAATTCTATAAAAGATTACATTTCTTTTAAATGCAAGTGAAGAAAATGCAATTTCACAAAGCACAACAGAGTTAATAAAACACAACGTCAACACTGCATCATCTTAACGAGAGAAAAACTTACTTTTCTGTAGCTTTAATGCTGTAAATAATTGAATTTAAAGATGAGATTTTCAACAAACAAACAATTCTTGAAATTACTAAGGGAATCATACGGCTGACATCACGAACTTCTTTCAGGAGGACTACGCATTGTAAAGAGTAAATACTGGCGAAGTATAGTACTGACAGCGATTGTTTGCACAGCGAAGATTTCTAAATAAAGATTTCAAACAGAGCACGCAGTATTTGAAACTAAAATCGACAAAGACAGCTACATATCTCTTACCTTTCACCATCAATGAGGCCATCCGCATCACTTTCGTCTGACATTGTCCGAACATCCGTTTTCTGTAGGATAAACGATGCATCACCACTGCTAGGATGACTTCTAGCATCTGTTGATCCCGCTTTTCGTTGACGGAGGGATTCCTCTTCCATAATGTCCACCTGGAAAAAATGAGGACGAATTATTCAACTACTCCTAACTCACTACGAAGACAACCCACAAATCAAATTTTACAAGAAAAGTCAATAAATGAAAGAATTATCCGTGAAATACACGCAGTTTTAAAATTGCCCGTGAAATACGCCTGAACTCCTCACAAAACCCGACGATTTTTACGTTCCCATATTATCTGCAGTTAAATTAATGGGATGCCCTGGCCGAGCTGGGCTAGTTTGTTCCGGTTTACTGTAGTCGTGCCGAAGGGATTTATCCCAGGACATTGATACATAGATCAACACTATAAAAAGTGAAATTTGGCTTGAATTTATTCTCCTGAAAATCTGCCTTTCAACATTATGACGAACATAAAAACTCACTAATTAGTTACTTATAGGTGTAATTATGTGTGTTTACAAAGTCTACCAATAATATGAATATATAAGAATCAAGTAAGGCTAATTTGTTTCAATTATCCCGCATCCACTTAACGAATTCAGTTTCCTACAAAGCCAGGTCACACTGCTTGCATGAGGGTTGACAGATGGTATATATATGCGAAAAGTCAGGAGTAAGGATATATACATGAGGAAACGATGGGCTGTATAACAGTCAGGGAAAGCCATGATGATTTAAACGAGATGCCATGACGTCTGATTTTCATGCTGCTTTTATCCTTATGTGATCAAAGCAAGGATCCTTAATATAATGACGTCACGGAGGCGATGCTTCCTATCTCTCCAGCTAAAGTATCATCTCATGCTGTCATCACATGAGGGTAATCCCGATCATCACGCTGAATTAATAGAAGATGAGAAAATTGACGGGATGAAAAAAAAAGAAAAATCTTGAAAACACAACAAAGTTTTTATACATTCGAAATCAGAAATGAAATTTCTATACAGAAGGAAGTGCTAAATTTGACACACTTTTTTGTGCCTTGAATAAATGCGCTCGCAACGAACTTTTCGCTCGTCTAATTGCGCCTAAATAATCTTCTCATTCCTCCCTATGGTGGCGTGATTTATAACGTAAAACATTTGGTTAAGGCATTCTTTTCCTTAGCCAGGAAAAGAGTCCATGTTCACGGAGGAGGAAAAGGCTTTGCCTTGAAACTAAAATATGAGGACACGCGAAACTTCACTTCTAGATAACTCTGGATATTTACAACAATCGCAACACGTCTGACCAACAAATATTGATGAAGATAACAAATTGTAAACAACTGGTAGCTAAATTCCTAAATCTGGAAAATTAGGCAATGAGGATGTCAAAAGCAATCAGTGAATAAGTCAACTCCTATTGCTTTATTAGCTTTTATTTGTGGAGAAATTTCCGCATGGAAAACAAAAGTGGAAATGAGGATGAGAGGAGAATGGAGAGAGCAATATTTGTCCTTGACACAGAATTTGAACAAAGCAGCGTTCGAATCACATTTTACAGAATAATGGGCGATCTCGAAATAAGGAGGTAACCGGAAGCCATGGTTCTGTTTCTTAAAAACGGAGGCTTTTATCGATTTCATCAGACAGTTAGCCAATAATCTGTCCGGAATAAGTACCTTATCGATGTAAAACTAATATCATAATATGCTTTGTCTTTCATGAAGAGCGGTTTTACACTCGGACTAATCAATCCTGGTTATGGGTTGATACAAATCCGGTTGATGTGTTCATCTGAAGTTTATTGTCTCAAGTATATGTTTTACATGGAGAATCTCTACCATACATTATATAATACATCCTGGAAATTTCCTAATGATGCAGCAGTAGGATGTATGGAGGAAGTAGTAAAAGTTTCAAGGAAGTGGAGAAGACAGGTTGCATTGAATATTTCAAGCTAAATGGTCAGTAAATGTCTATGGGTCGATTAAACGGGACCGTCCATCATACGAGCCTGATTCAGAAGGTTGGCCATCGAGTGGGCAGATGTCCTCTACTAGATGTTTGATAGTATCAAAGAAAACAACAGGAACAAAAAGGAAAAGAAGTAAAGTGAAGAGGAAGACAAATGCATGAATTTGAAGTTGCTAAAACAGTTGGTAGAATAAATAATACTGCAAGAAACTGAATGGAGAGAGAGAGAGGGGTAGAAAGAAGAGGAGAGAATGGAGAATTTGATAACATTTTATCGTGTAAGACGAGTGGGTCTAGGTGATGTCGTAGAAGAAAGCTGAGGAAGGCTTTTTATTTCTCTTGGCTGCTTGTTATCCAGAAATAGTCTCGGATGTCAGCGGAAGCATCATTTCACTCCAGAAGGTTTGCCATTTTATTGATTATTATATTTTGTCAAGTCACTTATGGTATTCATTCTTAAACTAATTTCCTAAAATCTTAACTCTTTCTAATTCCTTTTTTCTTCACATTTCTTTCTTTCTTCTCACAGATTAAACTGTAAGAGTTATAATCATGAAATTTCCTCTCCTTCTCTTTGTACTAAAGGGAAACTTTAGAAATAATATCGAGAAAATAATACATCTTTTAGAGAACATTTGAAATGAGTGTAATTGTTATGACGAAATGAAAACATATGCAAAGAAAAAGATTTGATTCGTTGGTGTGACAGGTGTGACAGAGAAATTCGTGCTACTGCTAATTTTATTATGAGATACCGTTTATGGAATTCTATCAATTTCATTGGAAGAGAAAGTCAAGGAAGTCTCCAGCTCCAAAAAAAAAAAAAATCCCCACCTCGCTTGGATATTTACGTGACATTGCTCTTTGGAAAATTTGATGTCCTTTTACCTGACTTTCTACCTAACCTTCATTGATACAAATGTGCTTTTTCGAATAAACTTAGTTTTTTGTCGAGCTAATATTTGTTGTAATTATAACAAGCGAATCAACAGTATCAACTTTTGATAATACGTTTTGATGTTAAGTCTTATGCTTGCGTTCTTTATGGCTAAATTTGGACTGAAGGAAAATTAAAATTGAAGGTGTGATATTGTGATAGATAACGGTTAACATTAATAAGTACAATTTTGTTTCGGACATATGATTAGGGGATCGTGAATCGAGATTCGGTCTTTTTAGAAAGCAGCTATGTTTGCCGGACAGTTTAGATTACGGAATCAATTTTTGTTAATTAATTAAGCAGGTTTACATTATTTGTAATTACATGAATTGGTTTTTTCGTTTCGTCCCTCAAACAGATATTACCCAACGGCTAAAAATTCACATTTTATGAGCGCTTGTCATCCAAGCTTGGAGAGAAGTCACCCCATTTTACGCATCTTTAATCAATATTAGACAGGATAAAGAGCGAATTTGCAAATACATATTTCATCCCTTCCATCCTGATTGTTGGTCGCAGTTTTTCAAAACGGTTTCATATTTTCGATGACCTGAAGATATTGCGAATTCGAGATTGAGGGTATTTGAGATACTGGATTGATGAAAAAAAGTGGTCACTCATTAGACGTGAGGTTGCTACGAGTTGCGATATATATGATCAAAGACATTTGCTTGAAATAACAATTGCCATAATGGATTATAGTCTTAAAATCTAATGAAGTTAAGGTAATATATTTCCAGGAGACGGCGAACTTATTCGGAAGAAGAGTCGCCACTTTCAGGATGGAAGCTTGGAGTTGTTATCGGAGTAATAATTATGTGTTTTGCAATGCTTTATCCGAGTATGCTTCATCCACTAATATCTTCATTTTTCCGGACTCCACCTGCACGCAAAACAGTAACAAATCGACCACCGATTCATCCGGCGATGAGTTCGCCACGATCTCGTCCTGACTTGCATCCAGGTGTATTTCACAATTATCTTCATCCTTGTTGTTTATCTAGTTTCAAAGCAGTTTTAGAGTGGGTAAATCCTCATTATGGTTCATTTGGATAAAAACAGAAAAAAGAAAAACATTTTCATGGTGAATATATTAATCAACCATTCATTGTTCAGTAGAAAAGATTTGGGTCTTTCAGAAAATATCACTAATTCTTTTCTTTTTCATCCACAGGCATGCGAATGGCAGCAAGTCAACCGGAGATGACTACACCACCTTCCTCATCCAAAGGAATGTTTGCGTGGATGCTTCCAATTTATACAGTTGGTGTCGTCGCATTCCTTATTTATACCCTAGTTAAGGTAACTCTTCATATAATACAAATAACTTGTGGAATAATATGTTTTTTGAGTAATGCAGTGGTCTCCTAATTAGATCAGTATGATTCGTTGGATTTTTTATGGCTGCAGAAATAATTAGTAATACACGTAAAATTCCCAGGTAGTATATATAACTTGTATTAATAAATCCTCGAGTTACGTAATTTTCGGTTCGGACAACAGTTAAAACCCAGATATTATCATTCATCACAATAATTGAGATTCATTGATAAAGAATGAATTATTCTCTTTCCCACTCTCCTGATTCTGTGCTGTCCTCGTATATCAGAAACATCGTGTTTGGTTCCTATTTTTCAATATTTTTGAAAAAATTCAGTCAAAAAAGAAACGACGAATTAAGCGGCATGATTATTCATCGACGGAAAGTGAATCAGACGAAGACTATAATCGAAATGATGGACGTACTGGCGGCATTGGTATAAATTTATTTTGCGTCCCTTTTTTCGTAAAATTCTATTGAAGAGTCTGCATTAAATTATTTCAAGAGGAAAATGATAATTAATTAGGGGCAATTCAGTATGAAATATTTCTCAGACATCCAAAGGTTACATACATGCCGATTTTCAGGTAAACGAAAACTGAAGGGGCTTCAGGAACGTTTAAGGCAAACTGAAATGGCAATGGAAAAGATCTTAGAACAGCTGAACACAATTTCTGCTGAGGCAACTGGCGGAACGAAGCAAAATTTGTCAAAGGAAACAAAAAATAAGGAATCACTAAAGCAGTGTCCTGACCAACAGGATGGAAAAACAGAGCAATATTTGCGGGACCTTGAAGAGGTTTACTTTCTTTGTTTTAAAAGAAAAAACTTCCGGATCATTTTTTGTTACTGAATTAACTGGACAGGTGACTGATTTGCAGATAGCTCCGTCGGCTTTTTTAGTACGGTTATATTTAGCACACAACCGTCAATTACAAGAGAACATATGATATTAACTAATGGGACAGTCCTTATGATTACGACAATAACATTCAGGATGTTAGTATCTATTTATTTCAGTTAATTAACTCTTCCTTTTTTTGAAGGCATTACGCGATTTCAAGGAGCTGTCCAAAAAATACGGAAAAGATGATGAGACTAACACCAGTGACACTGATGGTATATATGATGAGACCGCCATGGATACAAATGAGCAGTGCAAGCTTCAGGAACCCAGTTCTGCCGATGAACATCTAAGAAGGCGTAGAGAAAGCTAAGAATCTGATTCCCAAATACTTCCATGACTGTGGACCCAGTTTGCAGAAAGAAATGGTTTACATAAATTAAACGTCCGTACAAATCCACTATATGAAAGGTTCAGATCCATTATTTCCTTTACTGTTGTTGAAGGTACGAGACAGTCGATGTTTCACCTTACATATAATATATGTGTTCCTCAGACTATCGTAGTAGTTACAGAAGAGTAATTTTTGGATCCGTATCTATTACACCACTATTTGGTTCTCAGAAATATAACTGATGTTCTTGAGAAGCTAACACATATCGAGTGAAAGTACTCCAGATCTCCTGCTTTCGGTTACTTTCTTTCATTCGTTATCTATGTATTGAGAACCAACTGTGATCGCTTCTTTATACATATTTATTTTATGAAACTTCAAATTGGTTTCAAAATATCTTTTTGAAATGCCGACTGTATTTAAAAAAGAACATTTCTAACCATATATGGCAAACGACATATGCACAACGCAGTCAGTTCATTCCACACTCATGTAATTACGACCGTCTAACTCATGCTTTTCAAAAGAAGCAGTATGTCGCAACTTTATATTTCCAGATCAGTTCTTTGTTCCAAGAGTAATATGTAAATGTCAGCGGTTTTGTTGAATCAAGTTAACCCTCTCCGAAAATTTTCAGGAAGCCAATTTCATACATCCTCAAGAGGAGGTGTAGTAATTTCACAATGTACTTATTGAATGCTTCAGTACTATCCATGAATCATACATCAAGGAGAGTTCTTATCATTTAACTTCATCTCCTGGAACGGAATTTTAGAGATATTCTAAAATGGGAAGAGAAGGAAGTAATACACATACCAAATTAAAGGGTCAACGCCATAATGAACGTTAGATGTATTTTATATATTATAAAGAAATGAAACAAGCCATTTCTCTTACGACACAAATGTATCCTGGTGAGGGCATCCAACCAGAAAAAAAAAGCAGAACTATGTTTATACAGTAAACATCTAGAGTAAACAATGCGAGAATAAATGATTAACCCGTTCTATGAATGAATTTAAGTAGTTTTATGATATTTAAGGGGGAAGATGGGAGAGGAAAAGAAAGGAGGGAAGCGTAACATTGTCGCAAAAACTTTAATTTTTCCTCCGGCATTACTGAAGAACCACAATCATGTGCACCGACAATAATATTAAGAAAATAAGCTCCGTAAAATAGACGCAACATTTTAATGTACGTTGCGTCGTCGTCTTTGGTTTGCGAAAATACCGAAAATGTATCATAACATGGAGACTATTTCGATGTTACGGAGCAATCGAAATATCGGGGGAAAAATGAGCAAAATTAGTGGGAGCACTGATCGAATTCAGTCCAGAAGGGATCCCTAGGAGGAATTCAGCTTCGCGTACCTCATGCCATTGTTAGCTTCTGTGGGCAGATTATCCGCCACTTCGAGATCAGCATTTTGCCATTCAGTAGCTGCGACTGGATCCGAATGTGCCAATCCTCGAATCTGCACTTCGGTACCGTAACCTGGGTTTTCAAAAGCTACCGACGGGTCTCGGTCTGAAAGTGGTTGACTGCGATGAAGTTTCTGGACTACCCTTAACCATGCATTTGTCCGTATCGTATACACAACAAATGATGCTGCTGCAGCGACCAGAAATGCAAAGAAGAATGCCGAAATGAATGTATGACTTCGTGTTGGACCTGAAATGTATTAAGTTCATTAAGCGTAATTTCACCGATATTATCCGCAAAATTGCAAATTTTTAGTTCAGTACATTTAGTGTTACCGAAATGAAAAACACGTGGAAGCTCAAGTCGTTGTCTGCAAGTTAATCAGCAATTTCAACCCATCAAACATCATCTTTTAAGGAAGAGACCAAATCCTTTCATCTAAAGATGAGGAGTATGTAATACTATTTTCTGAGTTCAACTTTCATAAATTCTAAAAGCACGAAATCTCCGATTCAAAATTCATGAAAATTCGAGCACATCACTAACTAAAAATTGACGACGCAATGAACTTTACCGAAAGTATTGACAATCTTCGTTTCCAAAAATGGTGAATGGCCGAGAGCATTCGCAGAGACTAGTGCAAGGTCGTAATTTGTATTAGGGTCGAGGCCATCTATGACAACTTCCGTATTGCTAGTTTTCACAACTGTAAAGTTGCCGTCGCTGTTTTCCTGACGGTAATATATAGCATATACTTTATATGGATCAGCTTCTGTTTCAGTCCAGGATATCTGAAAATCTAACATTATAGGATTCGGGAATAATGTTAATCACAACAGGTAAAAGAGACAAAGAGGAAGAGAATGTTTGTTTAAGTGCGCTGTAATGACGACTAATGTGGTATAATTCATGTTTCAGTGACAAATTAAGATGACAACGAGGCGGGGTTAACTGGAAATTTACTGAAATCAACTGCTTTTAACTATACTTATCTACAAGTCATCCTGAAGTGTAATTTGACGACTAAATCGATTTGGAATTAAGAAGATGCACGGATATTCAGGAATTGGACAAGTACGGCCCCATACAATGCAGAGAATGGAAATAACCTTGACTGAATCAGGAGAAACGCTTTCATAACGAAGTAGTGTCGGAGGTAAGGGGGCTCGTTCATGCCCCCTAATCATGCAGGCTACAGCTCTTGGTGCAAATATTGAACATAACGCACTGTTCGAAACCTTGCCACCGCTGCACATACTTAGACAATCTGACGGAATGCGTGCTCTCATGCAACACGATCGATGATCTCGACCATCGTTTGCACACCGCAGTAAATCTATAACTCTTTTGAATAAAATATTCAGTCTTGTATCATTTCTACATTTTTACATCATTTCTACAAAAAAAAATGAAGGTCTTCTATCATTCTTCGCCATACAACAGAATTGACGTGCAAAGATATTCGGAACTGGACAAGTACGATCTCTACATAAAAACGCCACAGCAAATAATCAGTCATGTTACGGAAATAATTTTCAATTTCTACATAAATCAGCAATTTACAGTGAAGAAACGAAAAAAGAAACCTTCTGAAAAAGCTGAACAATCACCATCAATTTCTGGATTCACTGAACAGACACCCAAGCACTTTTCGGATATTTTTGCTTCGACACAACACTGCAACAGACTTCCCACTTCAGAATAGTATTTTGCATTTCGACAAGCAGTAAATCATGAATTGTATTACAAACTGTATTATAACTGTACAATAAATAATACGTAAAGATACCTGCAATATAAAACGAGGTGTCAATGGTAAGGCAGCTTTAGCAATATTCAGTTCGGCACCTTTTGTAACTTCAATACCATCTGCACCAATTGCTTTACAAGAGTATATTCCATTTCGACCCGTTACATTTTTTATCTAAAAAACAGAATGTGTCTTTTCAAAATACTAATCTGGTGACCAGCAAGGATAAGGAGACAAGCAAACCATAGAATACTTGCACAAAGGATCGACTGAACGGAACAAATAGTTCATTCAATATCTATAATGAAATCAGTAGGAAGAAGGAACACTTAAAGTAGAAACTTCGAGTCCGTACAGGTGGAAAACTTCTGTTAAATTATATTTTGTCTTTCCCCGCACTCGCTTTCCCACATCCTCATCGAAGATATCTGGTTTTATCAGGAAAAAAAAATGTTTCAAACAGAACATACAAGAAGAGTGTGCAGGTACTGATTCATAGCTGTCATCTTCACAAGAACCGGGTCGTTTAGGCGTTCCGTACCTACTGCATTTGGTGATTTTCGATAATGCCATTCTAGTATAGGTTCTGGATAACCTTGTACGATACACTGGATTTCAGCTGATAAATCATCATAGGCATAGATCTGTTCCGTTACCATATTTACTATGGGTCCAACTGTAAAAAATAGACGGAATCGTTCGTTCAGTAATGTTTTTTGTCTAATAATCTCATAATCAGAGAAATATATGAAAATGGTAGGTAACATACGTTGCGTAAAATGATGTGAAATGTATCATTTAGTAAAAACGATACCTTCACTGGATCAGTTCTAGATGTTTTTTTTTGTTTAAAAATTTTTTAACATTCGAAAATTCTTGGATATTTAAAACGTACACTGTACAAAGATATGCATTTGAGCACGATTTTGACGGCCATCGGTGTCCATAACCGTGCATGTTATGAGGTTATTGTTTTCATCCACATTTACAAATGTTTCGACAGTCATCTTTGATGGTTCACTGTGTATCTACAAATTGAACGCATGTTTTAATTTACTTCGAATATATTTTAGGGATTTCAAATGAATGCATATTCAATAAATGACCTAATTACTTAACTTTTTCTCAAGAACTACTTTTGGATCACACTTGGATAATCCTTAATTACTTAGCTTAAACAGGTTCATTTTTTAGCGGCAGTAATTTTTTTATAAAAATTCTAATTGTCCAGTGTGTAAAATATGTCTCATTTATGGTTGAGGACATAGCAAAATGAAATCTTCTAGCATCGTAGCATGTACCTTTTAACACTGGTTGATGTGAAGAGGAATTTGTTTAAGAAAGAAACAGTATGTTAATTACCAATGTCTTTCCAATTAACAAGTCCAAATTAAGAATTCGTTCACTGTGGACAGTACATTTAACCCCAATTTGCTCATTTACACGATAAGTTCGATTAGCATTCTCTGGTGTAACTGTGATCTGCGGCTCCGGTAAGGAATATTCATCTAAATTCATTGCTTATGTATTTCTGGAGGAAAGAAAGAAATTTGATTTTGTGCACGATTCCAAAATTTCTGAAATTTCCCAAGTAATGGTTCTAATACTTTTAGCTGGTTTAAACATTGCTTTAGATCAAAGTGATACCGTGATATCAACCTAAGAAATGAAGATACCTGGAGCGGCAAGCATGGTTACAACTGATGAACTACTGCTCTGCAACTTGCCATCACTTACATATACATATACTTCATAAAGAGAATTCATCGTTAGATTTTCCATCACATACCACATATTTTGCGTTTTAACCTGAAAATATAATAGTTAATAAAGAAGGGGATACAAAAATCCCCACTCTTCGTTATCATTATAATCAATTCTAATTCTTTGTTCCCTTAAATACAAAAAAAAAAAAAAAAATTGATAGAAAGATTTTACATAGTACACACAGATTCAGTACCAATACCTAGAATAGAGATGCAGAAATGTGTGAAAGTAGTACCGAATTCCAAACAGATGCATTTCCAGTCGAGACATAATTAACCATGTACGTTACAGGGTGAGTAATCCTTCGTCCGTTGTAACGAACTGAACTCCAATTCCATGTAATATTTATACGTCGTCCATGATTCCACACAATATGCAATCCAAATGGTGGTACCGGTCTGTCCATATGCTCTAAACAAAATTTTATACAAAAACAGACAGTGGGCATTAATTGGATTTATCCAAAATTTCGTATCTTTTTT